TGTCATTAAAAGCCATCGGTTTCTAAATCACCATTCAGATATGATACATCATATGTAGTCTATTAGTGGTGTAACAGTCTCTAAAAGTTAAAAAATTGATCTGACACATATCACGGTATTGGGTTTGGGTTTTATCACTCTAATGTTACAAAGACAAAAATCATAATACAAACAAAATATTTATACTATTAATAAACCACGTATTCTGTTTAGTCGTGCGCGGGAAGTTGCATTTGCTTAATAATTAATGATAACATATATAATATAGAAATTAGATATAATATATAAATAAAGCTTATAATATATAAATTAGATTATATTTATTTATAAAGATAATACGACATAAACTTAAAGTACAAAGATGTGGTAACTTACAGTACACACTTACTACATACATAATAAGAAATTTTAGTCACAGTATAATAAAATTCATACTTAATTATGACAATTTTATAAGTAATGAGATATAACAAAAATATCAATAAATATTGATTCATGTTCGTTATATTAAAAAGAATGTTTATTAATTAAAGAAACGCCTAAAAGATAATTGAATTGCAGCTAAGGTACATAGCAAATTACGACACAAATCATAAAACCATTTATTATGGCATCACAGTAGTAACCAATAGATAAACACACATAACAGTGTAAATGCTCAAAAACCTGTCGCACTTCCTCACTGATTATCTCATCCGGGTCAGGAGGCCAAGCTATCAGACAGCTAATTATGTTAATGTTGTAATCAACAAAGAAACCTCATAACCGCATAACCATTGTTTTGGGTTAGAATGATTGTATTTTGTATATGTTTGTTAATTAATTATTATAGCGAGATGCAAGAATAGAATCTTTTCTATTCTTCATAGATCTTCCTTATGCATACAAATTCAATGAAAAAAAAATTCATAAAGTCTAAAAGCAGACTTTATGAATTAATTTTTTTAACCAAAATACTGTTTCTTTCTATCAAAATTGTGTTTACGCTGTGGGTATTAATAATTTTAATTGTTACTACTGTTAAACTCAACATCAAAGTATAAAAGTCATTTAAATTCTAAAAGTTATATGATTTATGAGTATGGGTGAATAAGACACCTTATACGAGCTTTTTGCTTGCTGGTCGTAAACTCATTTATCAAATTCGGATGCTGGTTGCATTTTTTTTTTATTTAAAGGTATATACTATTCGGCCGAATACAGTAGGAACTTGTTTCGTTGTAGTAAAATAATAATAAAACTGGTCAATTTAGAAATAAATACAAATTTTTATAAAATACTATTTTGTTTTAATCTACGTCATTTCAATGTCATGCAAGCGGAAAAGTTTTTCCAAACAGTTGGCTAAATGTCCTTATTACTCGTCTATCATGTCTAATATGATTTATCCTCACATTAATATGTTTTATCGATTACGCTGAAAAAAGGCAAAATTAAGCTGTCTCAACTGCATTAGTATCCTATTCGAATAGTTTCAGCAACAATCAATACTGAGTAATACATTTTATTCTGCATTGCTTCTGTAAAGGAATTGAAAAGTTGTAAATACCGCTTTCCATCGTATATTTAAATTTCCAATCATTATTGCCACGAGTCGTATTTTTCTGTAAGTATGGAACACCTGGTATTAGTAGGCTTTAGGGAACATCTCTTTCGTTATAACCCTAGGAAACGCGTTTATTTAAATAAGATAATAAAGGTGCAGGGAAATGCTACTAGTATATTGCCTAGAGGTTGGAGGCTGCCTTCCGCATAACGAGAATATTTTGCGGCGCCGCATTGGAACCAAAGTTAATAGTAAACTGCACATTGTCAAAGATTAAATACTAGATATATTATAATAATAAAATAATCGCCATTTTTCTTTCTCTTAAACGTACAAATTTACAAAAAAAATAACTAGACAATACTTTAAAATAGTAGCTACTATTACAGCTATTCCGATAATAGAGTTTTTTACGTTTTATAGTGAAATTAAGATCGAAAGTATTGATTATGTCATATCAAGCAATAAAATTATATTACGTGAAAATAATTACATTTAGCTAGGGCAACGATTGCAAAATCGTTCATACATACGTAAAATAAATAAATAAATAATAGCCAATTAAATAACAATAAAGATAGCACCGTATAAGAGCTCACAGAGGAACATTATTATGTGTACAATATGTTAATAGTTTACTGAATATCCAATCTATGACCGTGTCGTAAAACTTGCAGACCTTCGAGACGGGCGTGGACGGTTGACGACACCACTCATTCGGACCCTGCCCCAAATACCTACTGTAATTTTATTCAACTATCTGTACCATTGATTGTACGGAATTACACGATTATTACTGTTTTTGCATAATGGCATCGAGACCATTTAATTAAATTTATTTTGCTAGAACGCATACGTAGGCGCAATTTTTTCTCTTGAATCTTTGTAAACGCTAGAATATCACTATTGTGATAATTTACAAATATAGAATATATTATACGGTTTTAACTAGTTAAAGGAATTAAGCTACAAAACTGGCATTAAATTTTCTTAAATGCTACAAGAATGAGTCATTTAGACTACAACACATACTATGTATAGTTATTTTATACTTTACCAGATGGACACGAAGCTTTCGGAGAGAGTTAAATCAAAACATATATTACAAAATTCATATTCATCCTTATAAAATTATAATAGCAAATTCTGCCTTAGACAGTTGATCAATATTAATAAGCGTTTTAGAAACCGACAAAATTATATATCAATCGTACATGTTTTTGTTTCATAAAACAAAATCATTCATTTATGCTTGCAGTCCCATGCATACTGTGTGAACCCTTAATGCTGTAATGCAATTTTTAAGATTCATATTTTAAAGGCAAGAATTTTACTATGCCTAGAAAGGTTTTAATTTATAATTGCGTATCTGTTAGGAATAATTACTGCATTGTAGGAATATAGATACAATTATAAATAGATAAACAACATCAAAATTTCAAATAAGAATAACATCAAAAATAGTGTTTTTATTAAATTCTACCTCGTTGTTATGTTGTGAATAAATACGAAAGCAAATCAGAATTTACTTGCGTGTCGCGTCGTGTTAAATCGGATCGAGACAAAATTATCGCATTACCTGCACGTCTTAATATTTGTTTTTAATTATCTCAATATTTATGTAATGTCTTCTTAGTTTCACAACGCTATTTAAACGCGATATAAAAACGAATAAGTTAATTATTCGTATCAATTATGTATTAATGGCCGTTTAAGATAGTAAAATCGACCTAATAAGACTAAAAAGCTTATTTATTAATGGTTTAATTTGAAAGCGTCTATTCAAGTTTGCCAATGATTAACTCAAAAATTTTATTAAATTAATTAAGGTTTTATTACGGTATATCATGAATGCGTTAATTATAATAAAATAAAATAATAACAACAGGAAAAAAAGACAGATTTGCAACAATATTTTTGATAAGTACAGAATTTTAGCTTAAAGCGTAGACGATTTGATATCCACTGAAAGATAGTAGAAAAGAGATGTTTCTTATAGTTGCGTTGTGTCTTATAGTTTGGCAGTGTTAGAAATAGCGTGACCTTTAATTTCAACTTTTACTAATTTAGTTGATTTAAATTATCATTTTATGTAACAGAGTTGAATCGGTAAATTATGCGAGGTCTTGAACTTTGTCTAAAATGTATGTTAATTATAGGATTTCATATTCGCTTGTGACATTTGCAATTTATGAATCTTGACGTGATTTAGACTTAACTAGATTTTGGAAATATTTGTACAGATGAATTTATATTTAGTTACATAAATACAGTTATTCCCGTCCCGTTAAATTATAGTTATATAAAACCTGGGAGGCGTTTCAATGAAATGTATGACTAAATAAGGATTCAAAAAATTTCATAAGTTTTCTTGCATAAATCGTACTTAACCAAACAAAAATTATCAATAACACCGACTAAATTTATTTAAGTTCAAAACCAAATATAACATCATGAATTGCATTTTTATTTTGCAACTTGACTTTTTTAAATCATTAGCAAAAATTGTTTCACTGGCTAAATCGGAAACGATAAAAAGAATTACATTTTATTACGAAGAATCATGAAAAATTATAATAAAAACTTTTTCTTACTACCTTTTTTCACTACCTGTCAGACCTTCGTCCATTATTAATTATTTAAAGAGGTTGGTCATACATGGCAAACTAAGGTCAATGATTTATTCCATATCGGTCGAGTTGATTTAAGAAAATAAGTACTCCTTTTTTCCTTTTCGGAAGAAGTCATGTCCGACTTATTTATCATCACCTTTTGAAGGGTTAAAAAAAAAAGAGGATTTCATTTTCATTTTTACTTAATTTAAATTGTTATTACGGCCGTTCGTGTTTGAGATGGCCATGGATGGACTACTCGCCAGGAACGACACAAATTAAAATAACAACATATACGACTTAAGTTTGGTTAGCTTATAATATTTTCCTATCTGTGAATAATGTTAGCAACCGAGCCAAATTAAATTTGATACCTAACCTTTGAATTCTTAATTAATTTTCAAATTAATGAAGGCTAAACATATGTATATACAATTTAGTTCTCGTTTTTTTCTCTATATTAGATACTTCAACATTATGAAGTTTCATTAGTAGTCTTAGAAATTCAACTGATCTTCGATATTAGAGCAATTTTTTTACTATGAATATTTTTGTCGCTACACGTAGGAACAAAACATCTAAATAGCTACCCAGTCTTAAATAATACCAAAGACGTGTATTAAATAACTACTGCATACAATCTGTAAAGAATTCGGTTCTAAAGGACTGTTCAATAAGGAACGTCGTGCTGCGTCGGCGGCGATGCCACTTTTCACCGTCAGAACGTCGCATGCGCAGCGAACACCTTCCCGATATAAAAGCATCAACCGCCCGTTCACCCGCTCGCAGTCTGTGCTCAAACGTTATAGTGTCTACAACCACTGTGCCAGGACTTTGTAATTATGAATACACAGTGTTTTATAGTGTTAGCGCTCGCTTTTGGCGTCGGTACGTACATATTTTAAATATTTAAGGTGTGGTTAGTGGCGAAGTGAAATAATTGTTCCACTGAGTAAAAAGGAATCGCGCATTAATTTAGGCAGAAAATTTGTGGTGTTTCCGATGCTCATTTTTTTATTAAAAAATGCATACTAGACGAAACTATTGAAATTTTTATGGGATTCACGAATCTAGTCTTGCGGAAAGAGCGGCAACGCTTACATCAATTATTTATAAGCCGTTTTGAATATTTTCTGAACTCCTATTAGATGAGGGTACTTAAACGTAACCGGAATAAGGGAATCGAGAATGTTCCAGTAATTTTTGGAGTTAAAAAATAGTAGTAGTATAATATATTTTTTCTTTGTATATTTTATATCACAATGCAATAACCTTAACTGTAATGTTAAAGTACGTTCCATACCTACCTACTTAACAAAACTTAAAGCGTAAAAAATCAAGGTAAATATTTAATAGGTAAAAATTTTTGCCACTTTCCGTGAACGTGTTTCTATAAATTTATGAATCATTTAAAAGTCTGAAATGTTAGTTGTTTGTTTCCGCTTGCACTTAAACGTGATTCCTGTCTCATTATTTCATTAAAATAAATCATATTATCTAGCAATTTGTTAACAATCTATAATAGATTTTTAAATTGTTTTTTGTGTGCTATATTTTAAATTCTAAATAAAAGACGGTGCTTAATACAAAAGTACCTTTCACTTTTAATAATAATTATATAGATACCTTTGCTTTACCAATTCATAGTCGGTCCACTACCTTCGTAAGGTCGTCCTTCGATCTTGTCTTCTTTAATCGTTTTGTGGGCAAAATAACGCTAATTTAATTTACTATACATAGAAATATTTAACGATCATATTCACCTTTTTTTCGTTGTTCATATGTTTCTACTGAAAGATTGCGTTTTACTTTAACGTATTGTTGTACACGTAACAGCGAGATGAATGAGGCAATTAAGGCCCACGCCCTCATTAAACTTTCTAACCTTATGCTTTACATGTTGCATAACGTGTAAATTGGCCCAGAAAAAAAATTACGTGGTCCTCGATTGCATGTCATTTAGAGGAAATTTTCTAGCTACGAGTTTATTGATACGTTATTCAATTTTAAGTTTTAAAAACATAAATTATGGGCAAAAAATATTTCTTAACTACTTGCGACACACGTTTATGAATAGTACGTCCAGGTCCCATATATCGTTTTCCTCAAGGAATCTTTATAGACTAAAATATTCTTTAGTTCTGTTTAATACTTTACTTTTTCTTTATCTATATAGAATATTAAAGCAAGAAGTTAATAATTGAAGTAAGTAGTAATTGTGAATGAAAATATTTAGGGTTAATATTTTTCTAATTTGTAGAAAATGTAATGGCAGATAAAAAGTACAATAAATAAATAAGTAATCACATTCGTTTGAAATCGCGTGAAGGCATTCAATTATCCAACGTCGTGGCGCGTACGAATTTCATGAGAAGAAAATCTTGTGAAAATTATTACTGCTTCACTGCGTAGTTATCACTTTTATTAAGTATTAAAAAAACACATATTTATAATGTAATGCTATAAAATGTATTGTGCCAATTGTAATACTATTGTTGAGGTAAAATTGCAACAAGAATTTGATATAATAGGTTTTGGTACCATATTTTTGACTGACTTATGCAATTAAATTAAAATTAATTACGTATCATGAAGCCTCTTTCGGTTTATTTTACTATTTAACTTATGTTGGTACAGTAAAGTCTAGATAGGCATTAGTAACGTTAAGTAACGGAAACAAACTGTAATTAGCATTATTCAAAAACAATAAAACGGAAGCTTCATTCATTTATGAGCAACTTTGCAGTCACGTCCCATGACCAGACTTTGTACTTCTTCCTGCGTATGTGGAAAACCATCTAATTTGAAGGTTTATAGACTCAAAAAGGAACAAGAAATTAGTATTTTCTAATTAATAAAGCTTTTTATAACCTTCATTGTTTTAACCTTGGTTGCAAACGAAAAAAATATAATAGATAAATTATAGTCAAATATAATTTAAAGAATCTTATTTCATAAATTAGTACATTTCTGCATTCGAATTTCAATTCGATCAACACATATATTGTTTCTTATTCTTAACCAAACACCTTTTTCATATATATTTAGGAAAATATTACATTGATTACTTAAATCTAACACGACAATGTGGTTTCATCCTTACAAAACGGTGTTTAAGTTACACGCCGATCAGTTACAATTAATAAAAGCTTCAATTCGTGATACTTTGTGACATGGCATAAATTTAAATGGTGTGCTACAAATAAGTTACAGTTTTTTGGAAAAACATTTTTTATAAAATCATATAAAAGTTCAAAAAATACTTTCATGTTTAATATAAAATTAACGGCAAGTTATATATTTCGTGTTATTAGATGAATATAAATTTTGGATCTATTTTCTTGCATCAAGCTAGTGTTAGTGACATTATGAGATGCAGTGATTGTCTGTCCTTCAGAAGACATAAATAACTCCACGGCTGTCTGTATTGTCTCATTTTTATATATATGCGTCTGATGTTACAACACGCATGCTGCGAGGACAATGAATACAATTTATTATCTTACAATGAGCCTTGCTCAAGAACTTTCCACGATAAATTAATAACGAAATAAAAATATATTTCTTAACATTTTATCATTTGTATAAAGCATATTTCAAAACTACTATAAATTATCCAAATGGCACGATTTGACCAATCTACTAGGCTTAAAAGTTACCTATCCCGAAGTTAATATAAATATTTCATATCCCTTTTAAGTTAAGTAATTTTCGTTAGGAAAAATAAACTTTGTATAATTTGTATGACATATTGCGTAGTCGTTATTTACGATTGGCTGAATTGGAAGACGTAGGAAATCGAAAGTGGCACTTCTGTGTGTGTGAACAGTGGGTCAGATTGTGCTTTCGCCTACATAACCCCGGTGTTTGACCTTTATCTTAAATAATATTTATGTAATGACCGATGTTGTTATATCATAACGACATTAGATTTTTGTATACCTACAGTGCTGTGATAAATCTTACGTTATTTATGATGAGATATCTTGTAATATCAGCAGTGACCTCTCGATATGTCTTAATAATAAAAATTAGAAACCTATTAAACGTTACTAAACTGTTGTTAAAAGTGTTGAAACATGTAGTAACCTGACGTGTTCTATTGCATTTCGATTTATTGACTGCGTCAGAGCAAATCATTATAAGATTTTTCTTCCCTCCGTGTTGTCAAAAGTAGTTCACCTCGACTTAAGTGAAAGGGTGTCTTCATATGTAGATGAGTTCAAAATATGAATTATTAACAACAATTCATGAGTAGAAACGTTTTGTAAAATTAGGTATTAATTAAGATGATTAGGAATGTAAATTAATGTCTATAATCGTGAATACATTTTGTAGTTTAACCAGTAACAGAAAATTACTATGATTTTCTCTGAATAATATGAATAAAACTTTCCACGCAGTCCGGCTTAGAAAGTTGACGACTCTCCAAGTAAACACTAGATTTAGTGAGACCTAGAATAACTGGACATTTCGTTACACGTAGCGGATAAATTCGAAGATGAGAATATTGCAAAACCAGGATGCTGTCCGACTGGTTGGAAAATGTCAACCGGTGTGGTACATGACATAACCCAATGACGTGGAAGTATGCGTACGACCGACATTTTTACGAAATAACCTATTGACATTATCGTTTTATGATCGTCTTGTATTTCAATAAGGGATGTCACAATATTATTTTAACTTGGCCATACGTATTTTCCGAATGTATAGTTAACTTGATTATTGATTACGCAGGGTTATCACTAACTGATTAAAAAAAAAATATTGCAATAGATTCATAAATCTGAGTAGTTGTTACCGCAGTTTTACCTAATTATAAAAATATAATTATTGTATAATATTTTATATAATATTTTTAAAAGATCTAGCCTAATAAGAATGTATACAAAAAAGAACATAATAACAAGTTGAATGGGAATTATTTTAGTGAAGTTTAATTTTAAACGTATATAACAAACGATTTGCTTAAATTGATTGAGCTTATATTCCATTTATAAAAGCTTTGTTGATAAGAGAGATTTAGAAACGTGTTCCTAGTTATTGCAAAACAAGTTTGTCGCATTCCGTGGAGAAAGAGCCCTGCCCGTGTGTTGCAAAATCTGTTGCGTGTTTCTACCGCTTGACAAACCCTGTAGGCAGTAGGATGATGAAATTATAACCTTATATTTTGCATATTTAAAAGCAATAAATATTTGAAATTGTGGTTATAACTAGTGTCACAATTTTATGTTTTGACCCATATAATTTAAAAGTGATCGCAACAAAAACACATGTAATCTATCAATCAGTAGCCACGCCTTTTTATCTAGATTAAAAAAAATACTAATGGTTGCTTTATATTTCAGCGGTCGCCCAGGAAACCTTCAAATGCCCAGATGACTTCGGCTTCTACCCTCACCACAACTCATGTGACAAATACTGGAAATGTGACAATGGCGTCGCGGAGCTCAAGACCTGTGGAAACGGACTCGCCTTCGACAACTCAGACTCCAAATACTTGACCGAAAACTGTGACTACCTACACAACGTTGACTGTGGGGACAGAACACAACTAGGTAAACTATTTAAACATTTTCGCGAAGTATGCTTTAAAGCTCTGACAGGCTGTATTTGTAGGTTTTACTTATGTCTTTAATTCCCGATCATGTTGCTTGTGTGCCAATATTTGCTACATCTTAGGAAATAGAACTAAGTATTTATTAAATTATAGAATGTCTAGACATCAATCATGACACAAAGTCAGATGTGAATAGTTATGACATTTTTGGATCATTTAAGAAGGAAGTAAACGCGAATTTAACTTCATATATGTAAATATGTAGAGGTTTTGTGGTCAAGGTTGAAGGATCTCGGGCCTCTCTCTTGAGCAGGATGTTGTCGAAGGTCATCTAGCTGTTCGGTTTCATGTTTATTGCCACAAATTCTTGAGACATTCCTATGGAATATATTGGACATTAAAAATGATTTCCTTTGTGTATGTATGTTCTATGCATGACCATATAAGTGGTGAAGTTGGCAACGCAGATATCTAATAACCTGGAGATCCTGGACTAGATTAATAATTGATTTCAGTCCTATGGTACCTTTGAAATTCGCACATTATATGAAATCTTTTTTCACAGAACCTCCAATCTCCACTCCTCACTGCGAAAGACTGTACGGTATCTTTGCTGACGAGGCCAAATGTGACGTTTTCTGGAACTGCTGGAATGGAGAGGCCTCTCGCTACCAGTGCAGCCCTGGACTCGCTTACGACAGAGAAGCTCGCGTGTGCATGTGGGCTGACCAGGTTCCAGAGTGCAGAAACGAAGGTTCATAATAGCTTTTATACATAACGAATCTAAAATAATTACCATTATATATTTAGAAGTACTGAAACTAATTACAACAATTATTCTACAGAAGTAGCAAACGGTTTCTCTTGCGCCAACCCTGGTGAAGTTGCCAATATTGGATCCTTCAGTCGCCACGCTCACCCCGAAGATTGCCGTAAATACTACATCTGTCTCGAAGGTGTTGCCCGTGAATACGGGTGCCCAATTGGAACCGTCTTCAAGATCGGAGACTCAGACGGCACAGGCAACTGTGAAGACCCAGAAGACGTTCCCGGATGGTAAGATATTTATAATTATTATTAAATGCCTTCAAGTTCAAGCAAACCCACATAGACAGTGTCTCTTGAACTTCTGATTTTAATTAATAACATTCTTCTTGTAACACAAATATCTTATCCTGTGACTAACCTGCACCTTAAAACATGACGTCAGTAGTCAGTAGCAACGGCTAGAAGCTCGCTCTACTAAATACTAGCTTTTGTTAAATATTTAGGTCTAATTATCATGACTAAAGTCCAACGGACCGTCTATGACTGACACAAAATGGCTCTTCAATGTTCTTCCAAAAGTAATACTTAGCCGATAATAATTACCGTTAAATTAGTTAAGTTAACAGTTTCTTTGACTCAGTGAATGTAATGAGATATAAGGAATATTAACTGTAAATATAATTTTTTTATTTTATTATGATATAAATCTTTTATGTTGTAAAAACGGTACAAAAATGCAGCTATGATTTAGAAAAGCGAGCGTATACTTTTGATAATTAATGTTTAATATTATCATAGTTGAGTCAAGGCAGTTCACTCGATATCTAATGTTTGAGCGAGCTCTTGTTACACAATTTTCAATTCTCAGTCAACTAGTAAGTAAAAGTTGCTAGGTATTATCACAGCCTTTTACGTCTGCGAGAGAACGCATAGAGTTAAAAATGTCTAGAGTAGCCTTCAGGGAGTAAGGTTCGCGTCCATTTTCAGCGAAGACTACTACGGTGATTTGGACCTGAAGTCTATCCGCAAGAGTGAGCTCCTCGCCGGCCTCAAGAGCGACGGCCAGTCCCGCCCAGACCAGCCCAAGCACCTCAAACCCCGTCCACAAAAAGAACAAAACTGAAATAAACCCACTCTATACAGTCTAATACTCACGTAAAATAAGTTCGTTCACATCGCGAGTGATCTGTATTCACATTGAATGAATCGAATCGCCTTTTTATTTAAATTGCTCGCGGTGATGTAGTTAATACGAGTTTCGAATTGTTATGTAAGTGAGTGATACTAAATTGTTTTGTATTCATGTCCAGTTGCCAAATACTCGATGTAACAAACAGTTCAGATAGGACCTAGAAAATCATTCCATTTAGAAATATTTATTACACTGTTACTATGTTATTTGATAGATCGGTTCTTCCTGTGTATATATCGGTATAAAATTAGTCTACAGATTTTATAATGTTTTGCATTTATGGTATTAGGTTTCAAAAGAACATTCAATAAATTCAATTGACCGTTGTAAATATATTAACTGAAACGTTACGACTGAGTGTTGTTGTTTGATAGACACTGTACTACTTAAGTTTTATTTTTAGTGATAAAATAAACAAAATATATAAAAATCATGAATGTTGTTTTTAGTTCTGACGTTGCACTTGCACTTTCCTCGTAACCACCTTTCACAAACACTTTTTCAATTGCATTTACTTTCTAATAACCTTTTAATAACTTCTCTTACAGTCTATCTGTTTCTTAATCTGTAAACAAACTTATGTTCCAACTAGCTGGTTCCTTTCTACGGATAGCTGACCTCGTTGTTATCAGGTAAGTTATATTAATAGCGATTTCGAGATATTTGCAATATGCAATTAATTTTTTGTAAGAATCTAATGCTTTGGAACAGATTTTTTGATTTATATTATTTTTAGGAGCCGCCAAAGCAGAAATTTTATATAATAATCAGAAATTGTATGAATGTGGATACTGTAAGCATATTTGATTGTTAGAAAATTATGTATCACTGATTGTTCTTATTTAATTTATATGTAAAACATTTCAATAATATGTATTTCCATGGTATAGATTTTGTGCAATGTGAATAATGTTTTCTGATACTTACTTGTTGCATTTATATTTCACAGTGAGGATTACTACGGAGATGTAGACCTAAAAGCGTTGAAGAAGCTGGGATATTGAATGTCGAGGAGCGACTCGAAGCACAGACTGAAGTTCAATCTTTTTGATTTAATTTAATTTTGCCTCTACAAAATACGCAAACAAGAGCAAGAAGAGTATTTGCATAATACATTTATAAATTAAGTAATTTTATGTTTGAGTTGTCATAAAATGGAAATCTTCAAAAAGGAAATGGTTAAGTTGTAAAGGTGAAAATATTGAATTCTCTCTGTATGAAGAGGCGCTCAAGAATAAAGGCAACATGTCTCTAAAATCAGAGATTTTTTGACAGTAAATGTAATTTTAATTATTGCCAAAAAAACTCTTTGACGTAGTACCAACTGGTACCGTGTTGAAACAAATTTAGTCATACTTAGGAATAGGTTTAGTGTTAAATTTTGACTACATTTTGTAAATAAATATATTAATCCATATTATTTTTTTCTTTTCCTTATCCCAGTCATACGTGGTATTGAGAGGCGCATTCTATTGGCGCTACTACAAGGCCATATAATAATGACAGGTCGCGCCCGTCGCAAACTTTTCTTTAAAGGCGAACGAACGATCATAAAATGGGCTATTAAAAAATAGGATTATAGTATAGGTTATTTTATTAATTCGAATTGCTAAGTATAATAAGTATATCTTAATAAAATAAACGTATCAATGCACGTGATAATGACAGGCTTTCACCATTAAAATCTTGATTGCTAAACTCTTGATCCAAAGATCTTAGAAAGTGTGGGAATTTACAGCACTATCTATGCAAAGGCGATTTAAAACTACTTTTTAAACAAATATATTTTTATATAATGATTGCTTGATCTTCCAGAGAGATAAATCTTATAAAGCCATTATTTCTTAAAGAATAAATATTTTGGGAAATAAATTGAATTGTTATTTTTAATTACGTTGGATAACAATATTTAAGAATTCCCTTATTGATTAAAAACAACCGGAAGACAAAATAGCTATTGCATTGCATCTGCATACTAGGTCTGTTACTAAAAGAGAAAGATCCAGGTTACACATATAAGGTGTGATATGTACTTCCTAGTAAATAAGACCTAGTAAGGTGATATCATTGCTATCTAGTAACCGGTATGTATGTGAGGAAGCTGACCTAGTTGCTTGATGGCGTCCTGTCGAGACGTCGCCACTTGAACAGATTTCCAGCCTGAAAATAGTTAAGGTGAGTTTAGTCCGGGACATTTCCAGGTTTTGCGTGGTGGGGCAATTGCGCTTATACTAATTTATAATGATAGCGGCTAACTTATTTGTAAGATGATAAACGCAATGGATACTGCTGAAGAGCCCTTATATTTATTCAAAACAGTTACAAAAACGAAATGATAATTCAGGGTAGTACTAAATAAACCCTTTCCGAAAAGTAGCTTAAATGTATACATATGCGCGCAAAGTAAATGAACGAAAAGTACTAAATAAATTTTGTACCTTATCCTAATTTTTAATTCACCTCCTAAACTTATCAATTCAAGCATCTTAAAATAGCTTACTTTGACTATTGAACTCCGTCTTGCTCATCATAAGCTTATCCGGTGTGGTTGTTGAACTACTTGGGTCCTTCGATGCGGTAGTTGAAACCTCTATAGCTTGAGGAGCTGGAGTGGTGACATTTAGTGTCATATTACAGTGCACGTTAGCTGGGTAATCACATACCCCTAGTTCCTTAAAAAATATAAATGTAATTATTAAATATTTTGTTTAACTACAATGTTTATCGCGATATATTTCCTTTTTAATTAGATGGCTTATAAATAAATAAGCTTTCTACTCATGAAAGGATATTCCTAATCCAAAATAAGTAATTCCAATATTTAAGGGGCCGTTTTTTGTAATATAACAATAAAAAGATGAACTACTTCTATATGTAAAAATATCTTAAAATTAAAATAATAATTAAAGCCTAAATCTTATACTAATTTAACATCAAAATCCTACACGAAGCAACTGAACTTTTCCAAGTTAAGATAAACGCAAGTTCTTTAACAATAGGTACATTGATAAAATATAGCGACTGAAATGAATATTTGATATAGGTAAGTACAATCTACTACAGACAACCTAACAAAAATGTACTTATTTCTTCTAGAACGCGAAGGATATATTTTAATACTAGAATAAGTTAATCTTAATTACCTCGTTATAAGCTAGGTCCTCTGGGCACTGAAACTTCATAGGTAGTTTATGGACACAAATGAAGAACTCCTTACAGTTATCACTGTTTTTAAAAGCCTCAAACTCTTTATTGCATAGCGGCTTCGGTTCTTCTAGAAAATACAAATAGTAACGTCGTATATAATCAATTTATCTCCTGTATTGCAGTATTTAAAAAAATAGTAATTCTATTTCGTAATATTTAGTGGAATATAGAAGAATTTAACAAAAACTACGTGCGTCTTAAACAAGTGAATGTTGCGAATTTAATTAGGTTCATTAAATTTAATTAAAGACGTGAAGTAGCAAAGAAACGAACTGATAAGGGATTACTTTCTCATCACGTCACTTGTGCAGATGTTCGAGTAGGAATTTAGTAAGATTTTCTCAACGATAGACATTTTTATACGACCTACGTCATAGCCTTGCAAGGCACCTTATATGAACAGCAATGAATATGCTGCTTTTAATAAAATAACCATAAAACGTAAATGGCAGTAATGACTACAGTATCAATGACCCGAGATTTTTACCATATACATATGCTTAGGTCAGGATCTGTTTATAAGTTATTATTATTGAGCTCATGGTTCCTTAACCAGAAAATCCTAAAAGAAACTTCTGCGTATTTAATGACTTCAGAATTCAATGTCGGGAAACTAATATATTGGGGAGGGAAGAAGTTGTGCTCTTTCTCGGACCTAAAGAACCCTTGACTAATCGAACCACTGACTGGCCGACGCGAAGGCCCCAGTGACTAAGGTCGAGAATTGTATATATGTTTAGCGGTCGGAAATCCATCTTTAGCGCGAATCATGATATGATCATCGTACTGTTTTGTAGCCTTAGATTGTAATTGCAACAAAATTACTATTTAGAAGGCGATGCATCACAATTATTAAAATCAAAGGAGGTTACCCTATATTCGATGAGTTTGTTAGTCTCGAGAATTATGCTAGATATTCGGATGATTAGTGGTTCTGAACTGAACCGAACCGCAATGACAAATTTTAAATAATCTTTTTTCTGAGATAAATTGTTACCTTTAACATATCGTTGGTTGCAATTTACATTATACTGATAGTCACAATATCCTTCATTTGAAAACAAAAGGCCAGCAGGACACTCCTGTTCCCAGGCCCAGCCGTCCCAACAATTGAGGAAGTTGCTGCAGAGGTTTGGAGATGGTATCTGTGTTCGTTTTCCTGAGCAGAGAGGGCTCGCTTCTACTACTGGCTTTCGGGTTGGCAATACTATCAGCTGATTGTGGTATAATGGGTCCATATAGAGTTGCTTCAATACTGCGTCTGACACTGGTATAGTATAGACTACAGATGATGCAATGGTGTTTGGCTGTAAAGTAAAGTTTATCAATAGTAAACTATATAAATACTAATAAAAATAATATATGTGAGAGATGTTTATTTTAACGTGCTCATAAAAAATCTAACCTTTAAAAATATGTTCAGTGATCATAAAGCGGCTTCCAAATAAAAAATGGATTTTTTTTACAGTATACACTTATGATGCGTGCTCCAAATTCATTTTTGTCCTCGCATTAATAATATTATTTCATGGTTTATATATAATAATACTGTATAGTTTTGGAAAATATTAACGTAGAAATTTCTAATAAGCGATCTCTTCTAGATTTGTAGATTTGTTGTTTGAATGTCAGTACTGAATACCAACAAAGGTTATTTATTTATTAACACTTCGTTGCATACAGAAATATAATACAGTTGACATAATTAAATGAAAACGAGCCTCGGCATCTGGCGGTTTTATAGCTTTTGAGCGATCTCTTCCAGACAACCAATGTCTTCCAGGAAACCAATGATTTGCAATTTTAATTTATATAATTACTGGTAACTTGTCAAGTCATTTTATAGTAACAAATTACATATTTTATAAAGATTTAATAATCAAGAATTATAATCCTTTGTTAATATTATTTAAAGCATTATGTTTTATTTATAAAGATAAAAACAAAAGAACTTACTCGTAGGAGGCTATAAAATGGATTCAAATAATTAAAGAAAAACGGATTCTTGTCTTTCTCATAATATCCAAGGTTGTATTGATGTGGGTTGGCATAGGTCTTAACAAGGCTTCCTTGTTCATCGAAAACTGAAAACAACAATTTTAACATCGAACCTAAACACAAGGTTAATATTATTGGTTGAATATTACGGCCACAATATCTATTCGAGAAATAATTTTATTGGCAACTGCCAAGCAAAGTAAGGCACTGGTTTCTAAAGTCTGCTCATCTCAACTAGAGTTCGACAGAAAAACACAGGACTAAACCGCAAGGATGCCATGGGCTTTTTTATTTTCCATGTTAATTATTGACATGTTATAAGGATACACGATAATTCTTGCAGTACTGTCGTTCATGTAGGAGGAGCATTATTAATATTACAAGTACTACATTTGTGGCTTGACTTATGATAAAGTAAGTAACTTTGGAACAAAAATTTTTTGACTGTTTATTATATATAATAAATATAAAATAGCAGTTCTTGATAATTTGCATTGTCAACGCTTAGTTATTAAAAAGAGGAAGGAATAGTTATTATAAAATATTTTAATGTGTATTCATATATATATTATGATTAAAACATTAATAGATAACAGTGTATTTTATTATAAAATAAATTAAACTAATAAATAAATTCAAATTCAAAAATCATTTTATCATATAGGTAACAAAATGTACACTTATGAACGTCAAAAAATAAATATATATGAAATGCTTCTAATTTTACATTTAATATACTACATGCAACAACAAAAGGGGCGTTATTTAAAAAAAACGATTCTAATTATATATATTGTAATTCGTAATAAGTATCAACGTTTAAAGAAATTTACTTAATCAAAACTTGTTTTACCTGAAGATAATATTAATTTAAATTGCCACTAAAAATAATTAATTCTAAAATTGGGATATTTTTACTCTTATGGCTGAATAAAAACATACTATTCTTCATATTAGATACAATAATATAATGCAATTTAATTTAAAATCATTAAGTTTTCTCGGTTAGGAATACAAAAATATGAGCTATATTATATTTTGATATTCTAAAACTTACATAATAGCCTCTTTTGTCTATTGCTGCCTTGTTCCAGTGGGGGGCTGGGATTACAATTCACAGCCTGCGCGACCGCAAGTATAGCTAGTAACTTCCACATCCTTGATACCAATGTCAGGGTTACATTTTAGTCCTAGCTTTTATACTCGCACTTGAAAAGTATATGTACCTAGGTATGTATTTTACAGTATGGACATGCTGGGATTCCTTTTATGTTGATTTGCGTCAAACGATGTAAGATAGCGTGAAAGCCTTATTTGTATTTTTACAGTATGTTTTATAGGGTATATGAACATGTGTTTAACAAAATATTGTTTTATAAAAAGAGAAGAATTGGGAACTAGTAAGCCAAAGGGAAATTATTATGAACCTTTCCTTGTCAAAAAATGTAGATTAAAACAACCAGGGAGCGGATTTGTGTGCCTGTTGTTTCCTTATTAGTTGATTCAATACCTGAAACATTTTCAAACAGAAAAGTAAAAAAATCATATTTTTTTTAGTTACAAAATATACGTTGAAAATATATTGATTTATGATTCATTAAATTTTAATAAACATAGACTGGTTCAAATCATATAATATATTTGATTGTATTTAAATGATAGTTTGCCTATTTCTTTAACGCTTATAAAGATATATTTATATTTTATGGATACTTAGTACATAGTTTGTATTCCTCAAAATTCAATTAAAATCGAACATATTCAAATTATTACTAGCTGTGCGCCGTGGTTTCCTCCGTGTCAATTCGTGTTCAGGTTTCCATGGCCTATCTAAATAAATTGTCTAAATAACAACAATTTATTTATCACATTCAAGCAAATAACCAAAGCCCTATAATATTATTTAGTTAAAATAATTATTTATTCTCATGTCCAACCCTTTATTCCTTATAATATTCAACTATTCGAAACAAATCTATAATCTACAAACCATGATTCTCTCTCTGACATAAAATGTATCGAGATGTAATCATACACGTTATGTGAACATGAATGCACTTCCTTGCGATATTGCATGTCACTCACATCGGTAAAATAAGACGAAATAAGTCAATCTAAACGCACGTTCGCATATAGGAATCCGTTTGATGATGCCGATTCATGCATGAGATAAAATGATTGGAGAGAATACGATTTTAATAATTGATTTCTGATCTAAAAACATTTAATTTACAAAAAAAACGTTTTTACTTAAAAAAGGTTAACCGTAAAATTATTATCTTTGGAATAATAATGAGTTACATGAAAAGAGCAAAGTTACCGTCTCGTGTCTAGTGTGTATAGGAATCTCATAGCAAAACATACATAAAAACCATACTCAAAAAGCAATTCGGTAAATAATACTCAAAATTCTTGATAGAATTAATTTATATCCATTGTTTGGCTCTCACTAGCAATATATCCTGTCTATGATAATGATTTATCTTCATTTCATATAATATTCAAACCTGTAGCATAATTTATAAAATTTATTACATTCGATCTGAATCATTTTCCACGTTTTTTTGTGAGTTTTCATATTTACTTACATCATAGGGAGTAAAAATATGTAAATAATGAAACGGCACATATTATTAAGTAATAAATAACAAAAGTACATACTATTACAATAAGTATAAACAAAGTTTTAAAACATTATTATACGCTGTGCTTAGAACAAGTTCTATATGAATTTCTAAGTGGTAAGTTTCGTGCAAATTGAATTAAAACCTTTTTGTTCATTTTCTAGTGAATTACGTAGCAAGTAACGCCAACGCATATCGTTAGTCTACTTAAATATCTTATACACGTAACCATTTGCATACTGCAGAGCTAAATTGTGTAATTTTTGTATACTTATTTTACCTGCGCCTACGCATTGCCTTACCTGTATCTCGTAACCAAAGTTGTTCGAATCGTAATGTGTAAGTAAATTCTTGTCTACGACCCATAGATATTAGTTGGTAGTTGATTAACATTGTAGTGATTTTAAATACAATTGAAGGTCAATAATCTAAAAATACTTCTAGCAGCAAATTTTCGAACATTTTTTATTATATTCTATGGTATTAGTAACTTATAACTTCGTGAGAGAATTTTAAGCAAAATGAAGTACATAAAGCCAAATTTTGGAATTGAATTTCCTGAAATAGTTTTAATGATTTAAATGAAAAAAAATAGGCAAAATGCTCCATATTACATATAAAAAATTTACATCTCAATGAATTACCATAATTATTTAAATAATTAATACAATACAAAAAAGGCTTCTTATTCCTTGTTAACACAATTTTCTTAACTTTAACTATATTCTATATTATATCTGGTTATGTTGTCTAGATTTTATTAATTTCTCATAAATATTTTGTTTTCTAAAGTATTGTTAAATTAATTAAGATCAACGATCAAGTAGAAACCCTAAAGTTCCTGGCTTTTCACACTAATTTGTAAATATTTTCCACGTATTTGCCATTCATATATCTACGTTTAATAAAACAGAAAACTGATTTTTATGTACTTCGCAAAAGCCTGGGATGGCGCAAAAAGGGTTATAAAATCTTAAAAGTTATGTGTCCAAGCCGAATGCATTAATATTAGTTAACAGCGAAAATATTATGTAATAAGCGAGAGTTATCAGCGATCTGTGGATGAAATAAATCTCAGTACTCGTCATTGTCGCTGCTTTCTAGAGCACACGCGCAAAGAAAGCAATATTTGCATGATTGGCACATTGATCTTTTAGGGTTATGTTCCTTTATGTGGGAGATATTTGTTTCGATTATATTAAGCTTGAATTATGAAAATCAATTTTCATAATTTTGAGTTTGAATATGAAATGTGCGTTTTTGTTTTGAATTGGCACGAAGTTTAAATTTAGAATAGTAAAGAATAATACAATATTTTTATAACCGACATAGATAAGAATCTCAAAGAAATAAGCACAACATCGTAGCCAAACACTTTGTTTCATGATATGATTTGTCTAAGTATCTACCGCAACAACTTTTAATTAAGTTATCTTTTATCGAGATAAAAAGGTGAATTGGAATAGTGAAAGATGGTATGATACGTTTAGGGAAAATATGAAAGAGGAGAGGATTAGGTATCAATACCAAAATCAGACTGATATGTGCCCTTGTATTTTCTATGTGGAGCAGAAACGTAGACAATCTTAGCCCTTCTCGGAATATTGTCTACGTATAGTTAAAGGATTGCCGCTTTTGAAATGTGATGCTGGAAGCGAATATTAAGAATACCGCGGTATTACCGCTAAACGCACCAATGCACCGATCCTTACCAAACTTTATATTGTAACCCATTTATCAACTATATACCGACAACGCATAATTTTGTACTTTTGTAAGACAATGCGTAGGGGCGACGAGAGAAGCTCATCGTTTTTGGCAACACCGAAAGCGCGATCGCGTGGACGGTCGCCAACGAGATGCACTCATGAAGGTTCCTTCTACCACGAAACTCAGATATGAGTTACCGACCCCGAGAGAGAAGTTATCTTTTAAAAATATATAAAAAAAAACGAACGAAATTAATATCTTATGGGACTATATTATTGGAATCTGAGTAGAACACAGTCTTTACAATGTCGACAAGCTTTCGTTGTTTGATTGATGAATATGAGAACCATTGATTGCCACCGATTCTATTTATAGTAACTGTTAGCTATTTCTATTATTATCAGTATGTCGGGAAAATCGCGAACCCATAATTGATATAAAAACTAAAAAAATACTCCTCATGCTGGCAGCATTCTATTTCTTACTGAATTGCGGTGCTTAAATGTTGTGTTGAAAGATACATATATTCAGACAATTGTGAAAGTTTCAAAAATCGGGAGGTTCTTTTTCAATATAAATTATTTTAAATGTTGTTTTCAACAAATCTAAGCATAATATAATATATATAAATATAAGAATTTTTTCTTACATGGTGTACAACTTGATATAAATATAAATTCTAGTTAAATGCACTTTTACAATTGCGATCTCTCAATAGTCGTTATATTGCAGTTGAATAATATCATAAACACTTAAATCTTCTTCAGAAATCTTACTATCTCTCAGTTAAAACAGAAGAAATCTGTTCGGTTTACAAAATTGATACAAAAAAAATTAGACAAAAGCTTTTGGCTCTTGCTAAACATGCGAAAATCCAAAAATGAAGTATGCATATAAAGTTTTATTACTTTTCTACTTTGTTGATGTTTAATGCCATACTATAATAGATCGAAAATTCATGCATATTCATGATATGCCTTATAGGTATACGATGTAGGCCTTGTAGGGCACGGCTTACTTACACCATCCTACGAGCTACAGAGTATGGCAAGACGATAATATTAATAGGCTATTTATCGAGTGCCAATATTGTTTCTTTTCAATTATAACCTGTATTTTATAATATGATGCAAAAAATATCGTATGATTTGCATTTTGCGAGTTTCTATTTAAAGTGCAAAATTAACAATAGCGAATAAATATAAGCGCGTTTTAATCCGATATTACGTATATGTTTAGACCTGATTTTATTTAAATCTATTCGAAGTATTTTCTATAATAATAAAACAAAACCGTCAGGTATCTAAAATTAATGTCTGTCAAGCATTAACAAAACTTAATTAAAAATAAAAGCACATTGCTAAATACGTACATGTCGAAATTTATTAATAAGTAGTTTAAGTGTCAATTGCACAAATTGCCCATTAATTAATGATGCTTTATTAATTTACTGTCATTATCAATTAACTAATTCTTTCACAGAACACGTAAATGCCATAACAGGATCCAAATGTTTCGGAGAACTCATGAGTGAAGAGTAAAGTCGTATGCTAATTTGCACAAGCGTGACAAAGACAACGAAAGAAGTAGAGCCTTTCGCTTTAATGCCAAGTAGCTAAGAACAACGAACAAAAACTATTATCGCCAGTGCGCTGTGGAGCGCAGTACGAGCGTCAGTTCCCAAGAGTAAAGTGTTTTAGAATACGAAAGATGGCGTTCAAGTGCAAAATTATAGTATTGGCGTGTGTTATAGGTGAGTAGTGATAGTATTTGTATAGTTGGAATATGTCAAAACTGAACCTTGAAAGTAGCCTGCGAGTTATCGCGTGTCGAGTCAGATATGCTCGTTGCATTAGAAGTATTTTGAGGTTTATCAAGATTTTTTGCCAATAATTATTGATGAAATTCTAATAATATTTATTTTACATTAAGTAATTGTCAGTTATATTTGAAAGCTGTTAAGCTCAAAGTGACCTTCAATAATATTGAAATGTCACGTAATTTATCCTTTAATTTAATTCAAGAATGTTGTTTAAGCTAATTCGTGGTAATATTAAAATATTAATAAGTTATGATGAGTTTTTTTATGTTTCAAATTAGGGAACGGGTATTTATCTTGATACTTCATTTTAAAATGGAAAAGTGTGCAGTTAAAATAAATCATATAGTTTATAAAGATATGCTAAACCCATTCCATTTTTAAACATAACACTCTTGCTTTTCCTTTTTCACTCGCAATCGAAAAATACAATACAAATGCGTGATGTAAGGTGAGTCCTCAATGTATATATATCGTCTTTTTATTACATTAGAAAAAATATTTGACACATGACATTGCTTGTCACTTTTGAACCGTTATATTCGATAGGTTGTATAGACAAACATTAGATATGGACACTTTCGAGTAACTTATTCCAGCGTCCTAACATGTATTTGTCCTTTTAAAGCGAAATAATATAATAAAATAAATTACGTTTACGCAATAAACTGATTGCTTATTAGATAATCCAAATAGCATTAGTAAACACGGAAAGGCTCTTTAAATATTTTCATAACCAAATAAAATTTTCGTGTGTGTATGACAGACATATAAGCCTTTGTTACACAAATCAAGCAGCAGTCAAAAACTGTTTAAAGTAGGCAATTTTCCCATTTAATATGCACCAAGTATATATCGGAAATATACTAAGTGATTTCATTAGGTTTGGTAATAGCTTCAAGGATAAATATGAAATTGGAGTGCTAAAAGGTGGCTGTCTTTGCCACTTTCGTATGTTACGCCTCGTTAGGTAATAGAGAAACTGGCATATTACCAAACTTTTGTGGGCTTTTTGTATCTTGTGGACATTATCAGTAACATACAGCTTAGCTTGTTTTTTTCTTAAACCAGGGCACGAATCGGACAATCTAAGCATTCATTAAAACTCAAACAGTTTTACTACACTATAATAACAAATAAATAATACAACATAATTTAATGTCGCTTTTCATTATGCTGTAAACACGATTTGTTACAAAGAAAACAATGATCACTTTAGTTAAAATAATCTAATTTAATTTTTATAAATAAGGGGTTAAGTAGTGATCAATCACGTATCATAACTTTTTTAAATGGAAAATCCTAGCTTTTTTGAAGAAGTTCTCAGTTAAAAGTTTCTATACTTTTTTAATCTATTAACCCGTAATTCTTTGACTATTTATTAGTAAAATGTTAAAGGCCTTGACAACTGAGATATGAATAAAGTATTACCGGAAGTCTGTGTCTTCAAAGTGAACTGCTTAATTATTATTACTTTGCTCATGTCTGCAGGAAATGCATGCCACTTTTTAATTAAACTTAACATTGACATTCCATACATTTTAATAAGGTCATATGCGATTAATTTGACAATGTGTTCTAGATGTTTCCTGAAATCTAGTAGAAATCGTTAGGTCTTTAATATATAAGTTAAGAAAGTAAAGGGGTCATTTCATTACAATTATTGTTATTGTGAACAAGCTGCCCCCCCCTTTTTTTTTTTTTTTTTATCTCAGCAAACCCATTCGTACTGGGTTATGAAAGATACAAAAGAAAGAAATATTCAGAAAACTCTATTTTTAAACGATCGTAAAAGTCGTAAATAGTTAAGAACTCGCCGTTTAGTTTTAAATATATCCAGTTGTAAGAATGGCAATGATATATTCTTAGAATGTTATTACATGTAATACTGAAAATATATTTATGTCACCAGCTTTATCCGCATCACAAGGATTCAAGAACTCAAAACGGAAACCAGCTAGTCCTGCACCACCAGCTCGCGCAGCATCAGATCCCGACACGGAGATCACCAGCTCCTGCCCTGAAGACGGTTTCTTCGCTGATGCAGAGCAATGCGATAAATATTATCAATGCAGGTAAATATAAATAAAACAAATTAACATTTGGGTCGCTTTATTGATTTTTTTAACTTTTATCATCTTATTATAAAACCAATTGTTTTTTAAACTGTCTTTATATTTGCCAAAGCATTGAATTCGGGCTGGTTTTATTATTGTGCATCTATTACGACAAAGACCAAAATATATATTTTTTAATTTCAGCAATGGAGAAATAACTGAGAAGCTTTGCCCAGACGGTATGGTGTTTAACGATTACAACTCGCAAGACGAGAAATGCGACCTTCCCTTCAATCTTGACTGTTCCCAACGACCCAAATTGCGTAAGTATTTCAGATTTATCGTATAAAATATTGATGTTACTTTTTAGTAAATAGAAACTAATATTCAATTAAAACTGGTTCAATTATCAACACATGATCACGTAACCGTTTGTTATAAAGCACGCAAAATGACGGGACAGTTCTGTAATTTGTAATACAAAATAAATGTAATAAAAAGCATATTATTTAATTAAGTGTATTTATGTTTTACGTGTTAATATCCTGAAGTTGCCTTTTTCAAGTATAGTAACTAACTTAATCCTTAAGACCAAATGGGTAGCATTACATTTCGATGAGAAGCAATAGATTATATTGAAACCGGTCTATAAAAATCTATTTCACATGTCAATAGAAAAACATGTATATTCATTCCGATCAGACGGTGTACACGTGATTCTTCACGTGTTGGCATTTGGTCGCATCAAATTATAATTCAGTGCTAAAGGTTAACTTTGCTGAGAACAACTTTCCATTCTCAAGGGAACAACGGCCTTGGTGCGGTAGAATGTATTGATAATAGCTTTTGTAATCAAAGTTTTCACAATATTAATAATTATCTCAGGATATTGTCTCTTAGCGCGAAGGATTAAATTTTAAAATCTGTATATCTCGTCTAGATTTGTTGAAACTCGATGAGATACAGACTAAACTTCGCATTGATGTTGTTTCCTTTGTAACGGTTCTAAACATTTCAGCTTAAATTTATTATGTCCATTTCATTTAATTTTTGTTTAAGAAATGGGCTTAGAAAGACCTGTGTACACAATGCTTGGCTATCTCAATATTTGTTAACCACTAATCCATGGGAGGTTTTACTATCATTAACTCTATAATTTGAGAACTCTATTATTTTTTAGACCTTTTTTATAAAGCCTATCAACCTAATTTACAGAGACGCCAATCCCAAGTCAACATTGCGTCCGCCAGAACGGGTACTTCCCTCACGAGGAACCCCATGAGTGCGGCAAATTTTTCTACTGTGTGGACGGCAAGTTCAACATGATCACCTGCCCAGAGGACCTTGTTTATAACGAGAAGACAGGCATCTGTACTTGGGCTGATGAGGCTAAGAAGAAGGGGTGCGGTGCTGCCGGTTTGTGTTTATTTCATATACATTTTTGTATTTTTGTCAAACATATGTATAGGAAATGTATGGGACTAGACAAATATAAAATAAAAATGTAATATAATATACATATAAATCCATTGACGCGTGGGACCGTATTGGGAAAATTTATCTGGAGTTAGTAAATGGATTTTGTACCATGTACCTTTGTTAGTTGAGACTCCGATAAATTATCATAATGTTTTTACTTACAGACATCTTCCAATTCAAATGCCCCGAAGTGAACGAAACTTTCGGCTTGACTCATCCGCGTTACGCCGACCCTGATGACTGCCAATTCTTCTACGTATGCATCAACGGTAATGTCCCAAGACGGGGTGGCTGCAAACTCGGACAGGCCTTCGATGATGTCCAGAAAAGATGCGAGTGGGCGAGAAAGGTCCCAGAATGGTAAGAACCAATGAGTAATTACAATACTTAGTTTTTTAAGATTTTTTTCAGACACAAATAAGTAAATTAAATTAGAAATAGATACATATCATACCATCTCCGTGATTTAGGGTTTAATGCATAAGACATGTAACTCGGTTCGAAAAGACTTAATGGTCTAAGATTTATACAACGACTTTAAGATGCATATTCAATGAAACTTATTTTATATATAATTGAATATGTCAATAAATGTAATCCATATGGGTTGCCTAGCAATTTCGTGAGTATGTTAATTAATGTAAAAAAATATTTTGTAAACATTTCACGTATATGATTAGTAACTAATTCTCAATCGAACGTATGAAGCCTCATAGAATTGGCGCGTTAGGGTTACAATTAATGATGAGTGTAATTTTATGATGGACACTAAAGTATATATATATCTTTAGTATAAAAAAGGTTATAGTGATAATATATAATACTACCCTGATTAAAAATATTGATTGAAAAAGTTCAAAAAATTTACTACATGCAAATTATAAAAAAAAAATTTTTTTATGTTAATTAAACATACTCCTTGGACTGAAATTTCTACGCGTAGGCAACCCATTATGGATTTTATTTATTTTTTTTTTGAATATCAATGAAGAAAACTTCTAAAGCATGTACGTAATGCAGTTACAATGTACCTTAGACTTAGATCATACGCATTGTATACACTATTTTTGAGTGGTAATACTTATTTTGGCGCGTTAGGGCAAATGATGAGAGTAATTTTTATATGCCGACCGTTACGTAAAAACACTGAAGAAGCAATAACGGACAGAATATTACCATTTTTAAATTATCAGTATCTGCCGTTAAGATTTTATTTGTATTCTCATAAAATAACTTTCTTTTTCAGCAAAGACTGGTACAAAGACCGTCTCACAGACGCTGAACTTGACGCCCTAGAGAACCCACCCGTAGCAAAACCTAAGCCCTCAGGTTCCCCATCTCGTCGCAAGCCACAAAGACCTAAGCTAGGCAAAAACAAGCAGTAGAAGAATAATTATTAATTATAGACTAAACTTTAGGTTAAGTAGAAATTAAAAATATTTTTTATTTTATACATGCATTTTTCTTAATCTTAAACATCGTGTGGGTTTTGTGACAGCTGATTTATTTAAAAATCTAAGTGATAACCACTAACTAAATAAATGTGTGAAAGTGCAACTGATTTTTCTATGTTCAGTTCCCTCTGTGTCTCAGTATGACAATTTACTATAAATTTGGGCGGTTCAATATTAAAAAACGCAGAGCGACCACATTGTGCACTTACAATAATCCGTTGTACCGCCGAGGTACAAACACAAGACCTTAGGGATGAGAGTACTGCCCTGCACTAGACTAATACTGCTTTTATTATAACACAGGTCAAATATAAAAATCAAATACATTAATAGAAACTTTACTCTCGTCAATTTCATTACCACTATATGCAGTAGTAGACTAATTTTACCCAGTCAGTCTAAAGCGCGATAATTGACAGTTTTGAGTTTGATAGGTATAAACTTCGGTGATTACTTTGAATGATAACTGTTAACTGATAGCTTCAGCGCATTGGGAATTCAGTCACCAATGTACTCGTACTAAACGGCTGGCTAACAAAGCCTCAGATTTATAATCGTCTCTCATTTGATTCCGGTTATCTGACCCATAAAGGTAGTTGTAGAAAACTCTCTCTTACTACCAAAATATCGGCAAGACTATGGCAGCATTCGTCCGTTTACACTGAATGCTTTCACGATTCATAAATTTATTACAAACTATACATGGAAGTCAGTATTAAACTAAAAAAGCTGTAAAAACGTATTTGAATCATACAGTTTATGTACAACAGGAATTGAACCAGGTGTGGTGCAATTCTGATTTCGAATTCAATTTAAGTTTAACGAGTTAGTTTTGATTTTAGTGCGGTATTAATCAAACCTACGTTCGACTTACGGCTGTGCACCAATGGACTTCTCTTTCTATGATAATATGATGTAATTTCCACTTGCTCGTACGGTGAAGTGAATTTCTGATTTTGTTGTTACAAATGTAATAAGTTTCTTTATATTTTATATGACATAGTCAATACTTCGCATTACGTTACGTGTTTTGTTTAAAGCTTTCCGTGAAAAGTTTAAATCTACCATTACCCAACAACCAACAACATTAAAATTTTAGTTTTGTTTCAGCACAAAACTGAATATTAAAATGATCAAAAAAGATCCTCAACATCATCTTCTGGAAATATTGTTACAATTTTAAGAATATCAATCTAGGATAGCAATAATTTTTTGTCAGCTAAAATGGAATCTCTTAGCGAATTGTCTAAGCACTAAACAGGATGGATGCCTATGTTAAATCTACAAAATGTTATTAAAGGTGCCAAGTAGTGCCTTTAAAGGTACCAAAGGTAGTAGAGTTCCAATCTTTTCAAAAAATATTTTGTTGTTGAAGTAATTACAAAATGTTAAAAAGCAAGGGCTTCATAAAATAAACAATGAATATTGTTACTGTTCAGATGCAATATTATATAATGTATCTGTAATGCATATTATATGCAATCTATTGTGGTGAAGGGATTCTACATGCTAAATTAATCTATTCATGTATCCCCATACACACAAATATATTATACCAATGTTTTGTCTAACATTTATAAAATCTGAATAGTTCTTTTATAAAAAATTTAAGGCATAATAGCTATCATAGTAAAATAATGTAAGTGGATGTCGTTGCTTATAAATAAATTTATTATTATAGGAATATAAGAAGTTAGCAAAATTTACATAGTAGATGGCAAATGTAAGTCAATAAAAGAAGATTAATAAAATTATAGTTTAGAAGAATATCGCTTGGAATGAGTGTGAAAAAAGCTTTGGTAACTATTATCCTGAATTAGAACGAACTTGGATGAAGTTTTTTGTCCAATGGTTGGTTGAAAATAAACAAAGTTATAAGTTTATGTTTTATTTTTCATATATAAAATCTATTTACATTTTTTTATTATATTACCTTTATTTACATAAATCTTCATGAAATATATACAGAGGAGGATAATGACATATAATTTTTAACTATGGTAACTAATATCACTCAAAAATGGATTTATAGTATTATGTAGCATATTAAATATGACCAATAAATTATTTGGTGGAAACAATTTTCCAATACTTTAGTTACATCATTAAATGTCAGTTATTTAAAAACAATATATCATAAATTGTACTTCGTGGTTCAACAATGAAGTGTAATGTACTGATTAAAACAAGGATTTAATAGACTTATATTAAAGTAATGCCTGTGGCAATAAATTAGCAATTGTGATAGATTACTTTATAATAACTGATTAGTGGTAACTGGTAGGAATGTTGGTTCATGAAACTAATACTTTATATTATTTTTACGCGTGACCACAATGAGGTACCAATTCAGGGTCTTCGCATGTCAGGTTCTGATCGTCAAAGACCTTGCCTTCCCCACAGGTGATCAGACGTGGATTTCCTTCAACACAAGTGATAAGTCTGTGGCAGTCACCAGGTACGGGGAACCGAGGGAATGGCCAGAATTTTGCTGACTGCGTGTTCGCTGGTACTTTCGTTGGGCACTTGAAACCTACGACGGCTGAAAAAATCAATTAGAACATGAATATTACTAAACAATCTCTCAATAACTCTTTTTTGTCAGCCCATAGTAGTAAAGGTAAGATGGCAAAAATGCAAGATATTAAAAAAAACTCCATAATTATAACTCTTATGTTATCTATTCTAATCTCTCATTCTCCACATGGTCTGAACACATTTTTATACTGTACAACAGACAAAGTATACAGATTTTTAAGGTTTTATTCTGTCAATCTATTATATTATTAACTAACTGTATTTTATATTTTTTTACCTTCAGGGTTACAGAAAGGCTGTAGGAGATCTGGCCAGTTACAGCCATGGATCCTCTCATCATAAACGAGACCGGGCGTGCAGGGCTCTTGCTGAGGGATTCCAAAGGCACATTTGACGTAGCTGGTGGAACATTCCGCGCTGTCTGGGTAAATTCCGAACTGGTACTCGCATCCGGGAGTTGAGTAGGGTGTCACTGAAAGTTATTCATTATTGCCATTACATGGAATAAGTTTAGTGATACTTAAACGTAAACTTGAACTTATTTCGACTATGTGTTTGCGTGTTGTTTCCCACGAGAATGTAAGTGCGTGCTCCTATTTCACCATGCCTCCTGCTGATAGAGGACAAGTTTTTGTTTTTAATTTATGTTATTATTATTAATTACTTAAGATGTCATGTGGAACATGGTGTAATAGTTGCAGCTCCTTACAAACGTTGTGTAAAAAAAACATTGCTATTAAAAAGAGTGGCGGAGAGTTTACGAGTGCCAGTTCTTCTCTACCGTTCTACGACCTTGATTTGAGAACTGGCACTAAATGTAAAGTTAGAAGCATTTCATATACATTTCTTTTTTTTGACGATCATAACTGTACATTGTGTTACCTATATGATTAAATTATTTTTGAATTTGAATTAAACAATATAATATTTCGTTTAGGGACAACAGTGCACGTATGCTAGGTGAAAGTAAAATCCTGTAAATAATAAATTGAATTATCAAGTTGGTTGACATACCATATGTCTATTATGAACAGTTATATAAAATGTAAGTGTTATTAAAATATATATATTTTTATACTACCGGGATATCTAAGTGATAGGCGGTGGCTCATACAAACCGTTTTTGCAGCCAGTCAGTAGCCCGTAGCCGCAACCTTTTGCTGACTTTTAAACGATTATAGTCTTAGAACTAACTAAATGTAATAAAATAATAGAGATATTTCAGTGTATACTAGTACTTACAATCGGCTTTCCTCTCACCACAGTCGACAGCCCAGTTATAGTTGCAGTGGTTGTGTACAGCTCCTTTACCATCGAATAATAAACCATTCTCGCAGGTTTCCACTGTTAGTGTACCGTTGATACAGAGGAAAAACTGATCGCATAGCTCGGGATGTGCGTACGCCTGGAAATTAGAAAACCATATTATATTGCGTTGTTATTTTTACTGCTTATTGCAATTTTTAATACACTCCCATATATATTTAAAAATAAAATGTTCCAATTTTGAATTTGGGGCATATATTTGAAGGTTATGATTATTACATTATGTCAGCAATTTTTTACTTAAGAATCAATCAAAAATTATAATACCTGGACTCCATATTGTTCTGGGCAAGCTGGTGCATTTTGCAACAGTATTCCCGCGTTTGCTGAAAACATAATCACACTAATTAATATCTTTTATATAAAACAATATTACATAATATATTTAAATATATTTTATGTTATACTTTAAGTTCGAGTAAGAACTATTATATTCACTAATATTTTCTTTACTTTATATGCCTCTCACAATTAACTATACACTTTACCAAAAGTGTTGTCTTACTGTACTGAGATTTCGATGAGGTTTTCGACTCACTCGAGAATTTACTTGTAGGTGATTAAAAATAATGTAACTACTAGTAGCATTTCAAAAGCCTCAATACTTAAATCACGTAAATTAAGCCAGTAATACCTCTGTTAATTATAAATCAGGGCTAAACAAGACGAGTAACTTTCATGATAATAAACGACATTATACGAGGAGGTGAAGCGTGGCTTTGCGCAACGTGAGGTCGAACCACTGCGTGAACACTTGTGTTTGATTGATTGAGTAATATAGGATTATCTAAGCTTAGAACAATATTTATTACTTATAAGCATTACACGGACGAAAGGCTCTCGTCCTTTGAAAGCTTGCGTTGCGTTTTTTAGAGAATTAAAAATTTTCATAGAGAAATCCTCAACTGTATTTCTAGCACAAAATCCTAAAAGTAATGCAATATAGTGCGGGATATACAAGATTTTGTTGTTTGGTAATAAATATGCAATCTTAGTTACTTGGATAAATTATTAAGAATAATGTGTATTTTATGGTTTTATTTCCCTTTTTAATCTATTTGTCTATTCACTCACGACACTTTCCCAAAGGGATAGGCAGAGACGACGGATCTCCACTTGTACTTGTTCTGTCACTTTTTGATATATTTACAAATAGCGCGGACTTCATCAGTTTTTGAAGATTTTTGAGGTTATGAAAGAAATATATTGGTTATAATTATTATGGTATCTTATTTAACGATATTATAGTCATTGCGATAGTAAAAACCTTGTATCTGATTGATTTCCGCGACCTTGCTTTACTTACTAAATACTGTATAACGTATTGATTGTCGTCAGGCATGAGTGAAATGATAATATGCTGCATATTACAAAAGTGTAATTTAACTGTAACATTTGCTATAATTTGAAATAATACGCAATAATTTAAAATATTGTATAAGATATTTCAATAAACGAAATAGCATTAATACATTAACCACTTTAAATTAAAAAACTAAATAATATTGAAATTTTATTATTTATGGCTAAAAATCAGCACTGCATTATATCAGACTTCCAGTGCGCGAAATCAGACACAAAATTTTTGTCTAGAAAAGTTTGTAATTCAAGCCTATTATATCAACTTGTCCTGATTTTATAATAGTTTTTAATAATCCATTCGCAGCATTTTACTGGTACATGTAAGCGAAAGTCGAACGGGCGAGTGGTCAGCCTTGAGTCAAGCGACTCCGCGTGCACAGATAATGTTCTTGATTAGATCAATGATACAATACACTCTTATAATCTGTCTCTGGTACGACGGATACGTATTATTCTTTGTTTCTCTAACTATAAAAAATGCTAATGATATTTTTAATCTATTTTTGCTTTAATTTAAAATTTGAACTGTATTAGAGGTCATCGACGAATATTTATTTAATTTAATTTTAGTTATAGTTGCATGTTATTTTAAGTATCTTTTTGTTAATTAATTATGCATCTCTTGTACTTTACCCTCTGTAGGTGTGACTTTTTTTACTATTGTTCTATTTTAGGGTTGCCAGGAAGAAAGCGCTTGTTAGCGATAAGGCCGCCCGTTGCCTAATAACTTATGTAACCAACTTACTTTAATTTTTTCTGCTATATGTATAATTATGTGTATTATGGAAACGAAGTATAAATAAATATATTAATATTAATAAAGCAATTAAAATGTTAGTGACAGGTGTACAAGAACCATAAGCAGAGTTGTGGCTTCCTAGTATAGAAATTAAATCTTATCTTTATTAGGATACACGGAATTGGATAACTCAAGGGTTGTTATATAACTGGAAAGTTCTTCGTCTCACGTTATTTACGTAATGTACGAGATATTTAGACTTCACGAATCTAAGTTGCATTACCAATGAAAACCTTTTGGATAAATCAGATGTAACAATTTTTTTTTTTACATGAAGAGGTGGAAAAGGCGTTCTTTTTTTTAAGGTACTACGTATAATACTAATATACGTTAAAATATATAGTGCGAATGTGGCTAAATTATTAATATTATTGTTCTATTGTTGAAAAGTGTATAGTTTAAATAAAATGTGGGCCATGGGCCTCAATCCAAAAGGCCCTTAACCTAAAATAGGTTACGAAGCATACTTTAAGTCATACTATAGAAAAAGACAGATTCACTGAGAAGTATCTTATTTAAAGCTCGTTCTAAAACAGCAATCCTTCTCAATGATCTTGGCATGATTTATAAATGATAAGTTCATCCACTTGGGTTAATCTACGTCTTTTCTTTCATTTATTTATAAAATCCAAAGATTTTTTAAATAAATCTTGATAGAATATAATGATCATTATCTTAAATATATCACAACGGCTAATGATGAAGCGGAAATATAAGTTTATTACGTAATTTTATTTGCTATTCTAGTCAGAGAGGGAAGTGAAATTTTAATGTTTGCGGTAACGTTAACTTCTTAGTGCATCTTCTGTCTACAGAACACAGAACAGAAAAATATAATATTATGTTCACTGATCGTGCTTTGTTATTAATCTATCAATAAACATGTTCATTCACAACGTATTACGTTTAAAGATTAGGTCGGCCAATTTATAAGAAAAAAACTAATTATTTTGTATAAGATACAAATGGAACGTCAAAAAGACTTTACACTGCTTCAAGAATTTTATCGAAAATCTAAATTTATTTTTTGTTAATAAGTCGTGAGAAATATATGTTCTATTAAACGATCAGTGCGTTGTTATTAATCTATCAATAAACATGTTCATTCACAACATATTACGTATACGTACGTATAAAGATTAGATGTGTAAAATCAAACAACTTTCGCTTCATCGCGTAACAAACATCTCTGGAGACCACGGTAATAGGCTATTGTCTGGATTATGTAATGATGTGTGGCTAACAACACACCTGTAAGACAACTTCATGTGATAATAGTGTATATCGTCTAAATAATGTAGTGGATTTTTTTAAATATTATTTAGTCGATTTTTTTTTCGTCCCAAGACAAGTAACTTATATAAGCTAAGCTTGAAAACTGTTTTGTAATTTCATGTAAAGATATCAGAAATATTAAAATGGGCTACGTAAGTTTAGTAAATGGTTAAATTAACTACATAATTAGATAACTTTTAAAAATTAGATTATTTCATTAAAATTTATTTTTATTATATAATAGGTAATTTGAATAAATTCAGCACTGGAAAAGATATCCGCTTGAAGAGACAATTACCTATTACGTATAATGCGTGCTCACGACAATGCGCGCGTTGAACTCTTTTGTGTGAGTGATATTATCTTTCGAATTAAAGCACCGTTCATATATCACTGTTGTAATGCAAACAATTAATATTATAATTGAATTATATATACCTCTATATATTATAAATATATATTTATAATGTAAGAGGCTGGGTATTATTTTTCTCTAATTTTTAATTAATATAATCGATTTTACAAATTTTGGAAATACAAGGGGTATTTCCATACTACACTATAATATTTACTTTATTATACCAAACAGTAATACATTTATTATTTCTATATGAATGAAAGTTTATGAAAATAAGTTTACAATACTGTAATATAAACATAACCTAGCCTTAACTATGTGTTAAACATATAAAGATGTTTTTACAATAGGCGCAAGGCGGACATACAGAAAAGAGAACAATTATTACATCAATGAAATACGTTTTAGATAGTTATTACAGTATTATAGAGTTTTTCAAAAACCCTAACCTTGTAACTAAAATAATCGCACTATTTAAAATATATTCTATAAAATCGTTGGTGAAATTCATCGCATTTTTAACGATTTTTTTAATGGTAATTGTATTTTTAGATACGGAGAAACAATTAACCTGACTGATTTGTCATTTGGTGTGTTTTTAAAAAATTGTAATTTTTCAGTTGTAAATGGACATTCACAAATGGTCGAAATGAAATAAATACTTTTAAAAAATAAAAAAGTGCATGTTTTTTTGCACGTTCTATGTTTACATGATGTCTCGTTAAGAACATTTTTAGCTTTGATTTCTATATTTTATTATTATATTTCGTATTGTTAAGGTCACATACCTAAACGAATGTTACTCTTTATAATTAACCTTTATATGAATGTAAAGTTTCGAATTAAATGGGCGTGAAAGTGACAACAATTACGAATATGTCGCAAACTTAATGTATTTAATCAAAGGTTACAATGTAGGTCTGTTCAAATTTCGTAATTATTTTGTTTTATAGGGGGGGGTATAATTGATTACGTTAATAAAAATATGAATTATTTTAACTAGTTTTTACTTTGAGAATCAAAATAGTAGCAAAATTTCCTTATAATACATTTTAGACTAGAATAGTGCTTTTTACTTAGAATTTGGGATTTTTACACCTTGTTAACGAAATCAAACGAAATTCTGATAATAATAACAATAAAACATGTATAGAAACATATCATAGTCATGTTTGACTGCCTAGCGGTTCACTGAATAATGCTAAGAAAAAATAATCATTATTAGTATTGCCAAAAATAGAGCTTGCAGTTTCTATAATTTGTAGGTTATATACCACAAATAGTTTTTATACTTAGTGTTCGGTACATGTTCAGAGCCTTGAGTTTTAAACAAACGTTCCGGTCCTTTCCAATCGTGTTGTGCAATACTTAAATAAAATTAACTCCAGTTTTAATTAAACCACTTATGATCAAATGATATTAATAATTTATCTTAAGCAAAAAGTAATAGGTTACTGGTTTTAGTTCCTATTAAATGTTGCTAGAGTTGTTTTAATAATTTAGTTATGGTTTTTAAAAGCAATTTAAGTTGGGTCTCATTCA